TTTCGATGGCTCAAGTGGGCTTTCTCCACAAGCAGAAAAAAGGACGCCTTTCTATTGGCGGGTGAATCTTAAAGGAGACCCTCCAGCAAATAAGGAAAAGAAAGCGAAAACGCCCATGGAGGTTTGGGTTCAACACATCCCAACCATAGGAAACTGCAGATCACTCTCAGGGGCAAGGTGGGTACCCAAGTGTGTTTTTGCTGGCCACAAAAACCCAGCATAGGTAGCTTCCATCTTCCCAGCCTTGTGCAGATCCTAAGTCGATTTTCAGCTTTTGCCACCTGGATGATGGTCATGGTTTTGGGGCAATAACGAATCTGTGATACTTCGGTTCAAATCCCCAACCCGCCAATCCAAACCACCAGGGAACTGAATGGTCCGCCCGAGCCCACGTCGCATCGATCGATGGATTCCTGCAGCAAGGCCTCTGGGCTGGCATAGGATGGGCCTGAAGCGGAAACTCAGAGCTTCCCCGTCAGCTTCCCTGTAGGCTGGTTGAAACAAAGAGCTTCCAGCTTTGCAACTCCCAAATCTTGCTGTAACCTCTGCAAACAGTTGTTCACTTCTTGTGAAACTGTTTCAACCAACAAATTAACTTACAAAGATCCAACCAATTGCCATACTAATTGGTAGTTTGGAGCTGTTCCAAGGGCAGTTTCCCGCCAGAAGCAGCAACCAAACACCACAACAAACCCTCCTCATACCTTGCAACGCCAGTCAAAGGCCCAACAAGGACCTTCTTTGGGTTTGTCCTACTGGGGCCCTCTGGTCTGATTCTGATTTGTTTCATATTATGCAACCAACCCTGGTACTCAGGCACCAGTCATACTCAAAACCTGGAAAAGGGGGCGGCCTAAGCAATCGCTGCTCTTACTCTGGCTGCTTGTTCGGTGTCCCGGGAAGTCCGCGATCAACCCTGGCTGGCGTCGTTGGAGAGCTTTGAGTGACACATGGATTCCAGCTGCCAGAAGCTAGCCAAAAAAGAATCGAGACCGGGTTCTGCGTTTCGAAGATGGCCCACTGCCAAAACTCGTGGGCCATGCGGCCAAAGGTGTGGCTGGAGACACGCATCGAGGCCCAAACTTCCATGGACAAACTGACACTGTTCCGGTTGGTGTTTAGAGGGAAATCGGCTCCAGCTTGCTGGTTCTCAGCAGGGAATGAGTTGGAATGACCCCTATAAACCATCACGAGGTTCATTCAACCAAACCCGGACTCGTTGTCATTTCCTACCGCACCGATCGCAAGCTTTAGAGGGAGGCCGACTCCAGGTCCTGGTTGGACATTGACTCAATTTTGAGCACATGAAAACACTTGACCTCTTGCCTCTGGGTATACACCAAGCCAAAGGGTCCCAACTTTGGGAATCCTGCACCGCACCTGTCATATGAACATTCACCACACATGTACCAAACCCATGGTCGGTACATTCGCAGACCCTCCCTAAAAGCAAACAAACAAAAAAACAGAAGGAGCATGACAGAACCTTCTGCGAGGTTTCTCTGTTTCCTGTTTCCTGGGTATGACCAGTATTTAAAAAATGTTCGATGTAACAGTTGAAACCCCAGCGATCCTTCCCACACCTCCTTCCCACACCTCGCGAGCGCCCGCGCTCGTGACGGGCGCGATGACCTTTGCATGGGAGTTCGGAAAGGGCCTCGGGCAAAGGCGCGGCACGCGGTCGCGACGCTTCCCCTCGCGGAATCGGGTCCGACTTGGCCCCATGCGGCAGGTCACTCCCATGGCAGCGATACCATAGCAGCCAAGGACTATAGTTGAGCAGCGACCACAACCCATACAAAGGTATACCAAGGCCTTACTATCATCCTTATTCAACCCGGGAGTAGAATCACATGCTTAGAGGGCCCATGCCAGGTTTTGCGCTCTCAATCGGGATGCTAGGCATATGAGCAAAGCACCGAAGGTTGCAAGTGGAAAGCAGGCATTTTCCTGCAAATCGCACACACTGTGTGCAGTTGTCTAAACATCTACGACAAATGTCACATGCGGTGAACCCTCACGAGGGTTTCAGAAGACTATCAGAGGTTTGCGATCAGAATGTTGGTTTTTTCCCGTCAATCAGAAGTTTGATGGCCATGGGAAGAAAGGCACCCGTTTCTTGGGGTTATGGTAGTTGACTTAAAAGGAAAACCGTCTCCAAGAGAAAGGAAGAACGGGTGCCGCTCAGCTGCGCTTCCTGACGAAGGCACACTGCTGGTATTTGCTAAGGTACTGGCGAGCAACTTGATTGTGTTCAATCGAATATGGAAACAAAGCAGTCTGGGCTGCCCTCAGATCCCCTACTAAAGTTACTATTTTTTAGTGGGTGAACTGGAAACCCCAAGCAGAAGGCGAACCCCTTTGAGCCGGATAGATTTCAAAAGAAATGACCTCAAGTGAGAAGCACCCTCCTGACAAGGTCTCACGCTGCGTTCGAACCTCAACTTCTCGGGGATTGGGAACTCAAAACAAGCAAATGATCCTGCAAGGATCCTGTCAAAAATGATCGGGGTCCTTTTGTTTCCATCTTAATCAACACACCCAAATAGTTGGAAAGGGAACCACCATGGAAGCATTTAGAAACTTGGCAAGGTTCCTAAGCCTCACACACAGCCAAGGCCAATCTCCTAAGACGGAAGCTGCGAATTGACTCTGTCTTGAAATAATCAGTCCAGAACAGAGTCGAATGATCACATGTTGACACGTATACTGGAAACCACCCATACTACAGCTAATACTAGGGTTACAGAACTTACACTACATGTTGTCCTGGAACAATATCAAATTTGATGGGGCCACAGCTTGTGCACGCAGAGCAGGTGCTCGGCTTGACTTGAAGCAAAAACCGTCGATGCATTCCACGGTAACAAATATCGTTGTGATGCTTCCAAGTCTGATGATACTGCCGTGCAATGCAAAAACACATCCAAGCATGCTGTCAGCTTCTCATCCACGCCAGGGTCAAGCTAGATACCACAACTTCTTTTCTGTTGGTAAGAACAGGAGACGACTGCTCGCACATGAGAAGATGAACCTGCCCCATGTGGTGAAGCGAACCCCCATTGGCCATGCGAGAAAGAAAACCTATTCTGGCTAGAGCAATAAAGATGTTGCCCCCGCAAAAAGTGGCTCGTCTTTTTTGAGTTGGTACCCCACTGATTTGTGCTTAAGGGAAACCCAGAAAGAACGCCGCCGAGTCCGGCCATTTTGTGGGGTCCGATTGAACAAAAAAAGCTCCCACTCACTTGGACAGAAAAAGTCTAATCTCGTTTCCTCTAAAATGGCAGCCCAAAATGCTTAAACTGGCCTGTCCTCAGATTCCCAGCTAAGAGTTGAACTTTTAGCGGGTTAAAGGGAACCCCCCACTAAACCCTCAAAACCTTAAAACCTAAAGGGAACCACCGAGTAAAGTCCAGGACTCACTTGCTGAGTGGACTGGCCAACAACAGTCTGACTTGTTTATTTGCCACTAAAGCGGTCCAGCCCCAGAAAGCTTCAGGTCCATGAAAACAGGGTGTGAAGAGGAACTCGGGGAGTGAGCCCAAACTTGTGAACGCAACCAGATCTGGGAGGCCCCGGCCCGGTTCCAGGCAAAAGCATGGCACTGCCCAGGTCTCCCAACTCGGACGGAGAGGTGGGGCCCGGAGTTTGCTAAGGGAAACCCCATTTCAGCTTCCCCGAATCGGTGGTGTGGTGGTTACGGGGTGGGGCAACCGTTTGCTCTCAGCCAGGGGTTGAAATCCCAAAACCTTGTGGTTGTGAAGGAATCACCATATTGGGGGTCCATAAAAACAAGACCAACCCAGGGGGGCGGGTACTTCTGAGGGGTGTCCAACTTCAAAGACTGCTGGATCTTATGGGAATGCTTTTGTATTTCTTGAGAGGTGACTTATGGGAAACCCAAAGCAGCACCACCATCACGGGGATCACCGTATTTGGACATACGATGGATGAGCAACGCCCACGCCAGCCACTTGGGATGGATGCATTCCTGATTGATAAACCACCAATCCCAACTGGTGAAGTGGAGTTTGTCCACAGTATCATGCGGTCTGCCAACAATGGGTCAAACAAAAAGAAATAAGTGTCAAACGCTTCATGTTGAGTGGTGATTGGGCTCAGAATCAAGGTACAGTAGTTCACGTGTCTGATCCTTGGTCGTAGCTAGCAAACAACTCTTGCAGTCCAGTGGGAAAACGATGGAAGTGCGAAAGACAGAAGGGCGAATGATGCGTAAAGTCTACCCATACCGTTTCGCGTCTCAGCATTGGAGACTCGAAAGCAGGGTTGAAAAGCGAAGCCGCTTTACGCAAACAACCTGCCTAACAGAATGATACCGGATTCAAAAAAAAACAAAACAAACACATGTGTTATCGTTGTATTTAACGTCCGGAACCTCAGTAGAACCAGTTGAACGGCGTGGAGCAAGTTGCTAGCATGCTAAGGTGGAAGAAAAGCGTTTGGTCAGGAGGAAGGGCCCTCAATGCCTCTGGATTAAGCTAGTATTGGGCCCAACACAATTAGAATGGGTTTTGGGTACTTCACTTTCCATCCTTTGGTATGGTAGCAAAACACATTGCTTTTTGCAACCCTCTACTACACTTGAACAGAACCAAATAACTTAAGAACCCTAACACATGCCAACAACAGTAAAGCTAAAAGACCACAACTATGTTCCTGCGACGCATGCAAATGAACCTTAGCTATCACTTCAAGAGACTGGCGAACCAGCTTCCAGGCCTAGGCAACAACTTCTCGCAATCTGCGATTTCCAGAAAAAATGAAACACATAAATTTTGGATTCACCCGTAGACAACCCACACACACGTGATGATGACCTCGGTTTGACCCCGCATCGGTGAGCTTGCCGAAAATGTAGGCAGACGCATGGTACTAAGATCGAGAATCAAGGGCCATGGGTGTGCAATCTAAGTTCCTCACCTGGAGCAAGCGCCCATCCTGGCCAATCAGCAGATTGCCAGGCTTGATGTCCCGATGAATCACCTGCGATAAAGAAAGACATCCGCAAGATGCCGCGGCTGGGACTCGTCACCCAATACTGAGACTCGCTAAGACCCACAAACAAAAAACATATTCTTGCAAAGATATGGCCCCTTTTTGGACCTGGCGCTTTGTAGCGCTTAATTATTCAAGGGATGTTGGGGCCCAATTTTGACAACCCTCCCCCTAGTTTTTAGTTTGAACAAACACACATGGCACGCGTTGTTCTGTTCCAAGTTCAGTGGCTGTGTTTCCCAGTCTATAAGTCTGTGGGTTGTCAGCTTGGACACCCCTGATCGTTTCACATGTCTAACTTTAGTCCCTTAGCCTGTCTTAGCAAGGTCCCACTTGAGTCTCAATCCAGCCACAGAATCAAACGGGCGGCCGCACAAATCTAAATTCTGGCTGGGACTGACTGTCGTGAAATAACCTTCATCTACCCTCTGGTTTTGATCATGACTCATCCAGGATTCAACAAGACCATGTCAAATGGAGGCAGTGGGTGTGCCTGTGTGGGTGCAGGTGGGTAGTAAGTGCCGTTTTGTGGCAAGCGCATGCGCAGCGATCACGAACGCACAAGAACTGGCTGAGATGGGGCGTTGCGTCTCACTGACACACTATTCACCGTCTTGACAGGAAGCCAGCCACAAATCACGACAAAACACGGGAGCAACTTGGTTCTGAGACTGCCCGATGACAGCATCCGAGCCCTTTTGCGGACTCTACGTTCGTGGCTCGCTTTCTCTCCGCAAAGGGGTCCTCTTTTTGGCAAGCGGTGTACGCATGAGCCCAAAACCAAATTGGCCCCGACCCAGCGCAGTTTCCTTTGACTAATGACTCGGGAGGGGCAGTATTGGTTGGCCATGTTGGCCTATGAGGGGAGGGGGCACTGGGCTTCTAACCTTTGATTTTCTGTCGACCCCCCATGAGTCAGTGTGTCTCCGTTGAAAGTGAGCCGGATTCCTAAAGTGAAGCGGGACACACCAGGATTTTAATCTTCAACACGCCTGACCCAGGACTAATAAACCCCTGGTTTTGATCAGCCGCTTCCCTTTTTCAGCTACCACGGATTCGATTCGCCTACGTCCCGTCTGCCATGCCGCCCCGGCCCATGCGATCCGCCGTCAAACGAACTCCGAAATCTGAGCTGAGGCAAAGGCCCCGCGCCAATGCAAATACGAGAGTCCGTGGAAGGTCTGTACATACCTCGAATCGCCCGTTTCTCGCGACGGCAAAGGTTGCTTCGCCCACCCCGACAAATCAACAGGGCCCAAAAAGGGGTCACCTTCAAAGGAGTCTCTTCTCACGGCGATGTGGTTCCATGTTAACCGGACTTTTTTTGGTGGGGGGAGCCTGTTGCTGGCATGTTGCTCATGCACAAGGCCAGAAGGAAACAGCAAGCCTTGGGATTCGATCCAATGGCAAAGGCCTCTCGGTTCTTGATTTCCATTGGACAGCGAGCTGTAGAGCTACTGATTGATACAGCAGGTACAGTACATCCAAACCCAGAAATGAGGTATCATGTATCTGGGCTGCCCTCAGATCCCCCGCTAAAAGTTTAATTTTTAGTGGGTTAAATGGAAGCTGCCACTAAACTAAACACTAAAAAGCTAAAAAAGGCTAAGGGGACGGCTGGGAGCCACCAAGGTATCTATGGTATCTCCAAGTTAACTTTGACCTTCGTCATGGCTCATTTTACACCCGATCGGTGAGACCAATGGTTGCCACGCAGATGGATTCGCTGTAACAAACCATGGGTTCTGAATCCTACAAGCGGCCCCAGCGACAGCGAGGCGAAGCTCTCAGAAGGCCATACTTTTCCAAATGTCCATAATCCGCTTGCGTTCAGAGTGATTGGATACCTTCATTGATCCCCCATCCCAGAATATGGGGGGGGTTCCCTAAAACGGGGAGTAGTCACCTTTTTGGAGCCTATATTCCTTTGGCTCCTTTCTGCTGTACACTTACTCTGCACAAAAAGCTCTGCAAGCCCATGCAACTTCCTAGTCAATGCATTCAGGTGGCAAAATGAGATTTTTCACAAAGTGGAAATAAGAACTTCCTACGTGAATATTTTTCGTGATGGGTCGCCTTGCTACTCCCAAACAAGCTCACTATGATGTGACAGTATGTCAAGGTTGCACATGGTTTGCAACCGGAAATACGCGGTCTATTTGGTTGAGGGCCATGATCAAACCCGTCGACCCTATCAATACTTCCCCCAAGAAGCAAGGGAATTCTGGATGGGAAGTCGGGATTGTATCTCTTCTTTCGGGAATTGGTGAAGGGAAACCAAACGGAAAACCACTACTTGTGAGGGTGAAGGGAAACCAAACGGAAAACCACTACTTGTGAGGGTGCCGAAAACTTGGACACATCATACCCCAAAGCAGCAAGAGCCTTTCAGGGTCCACTATGCTAACATACGAACACCCGAGATTGTGCCATGCTGTTCCCTCTCCCAAAGAGAGTCCAAGCGCTTCGTTTGCAACGCAAAAAGTCAGTCCAAACTCCGGGAGCTGCTGTTCTTCCTGAAAGACGCCGGGACCCAACACCCATGGGGTTAGACCCCAAGTGCTGGGCAACTGAATCCGAGTGACATCCTAGGGTGCAAATGCTCCGAACCGAAACAAAAAAACTTTGAGAACCCTCAGTGTGTTCACTTCGGATACACCACCTCCCAAAGTAAGCTTGCGGTTCCCTCAACACGTTCACGTCGAAGCAATTCGAGAACTCGGACAATGTTTGCCCCACTTGCATGGACCCGGAAAGCTCGACCTTCCACTCGAGTACTCAGAGGAAGCCAGCGGCACCAGTCGGCCACTCGGTCCACAGAATATTGGACTTCTTCCCCTTCTGCACCTTCGGAGTGCAAGGGCTCAGGATTGGGGCAGAAATCCACGTGCCCCTACCTGAGCAACGGGAAATATGGCGATCTTCTGGGGTGTCTTCTGGGTGCGGCAGTTCAGAGCCACCTACGGGGCACCTGGTTGGGACCGAGATAAAAACAAAACTAGTCATGAATATAGAGTAAGCTCAAGTAAACCCTGATATTAGTTAAGCTAGTTATAGTTTGTTAGACCCTGGTATAGCAAATGGTTTAGCTAGGAGTAGATGATGTGCGATTGCTTTCCGCTGTGTCAACACAAACCTCAGATGGGGGGAGAAATATCTTGTTGGGGCAAGACAAGTTGCAGTGACTTTGGGAAACAAACAAGCAGGAAATGACAGACTGGCAAAGGGCCCAATCTTCCCTTCCGCTTGGGGTTTCTGGGTCCAACTGACTTAAAACTAAGAGTCCCCGCTGGAGCCCGTTTCGTTTTGTCGTGCTGCCGTTAAAGGCGTCCCCAAAAGGCGTCACCGCTTTGTCAAGACCCCAAAAGATAACCCAAGATCTCTGGTCTTTTTGACGTAGATCTCCTAGGAAGAAGGTCGCACTTTGCAGGTGAAAAGTGGAATAGCTGGGGCTTCCCTGGTAAAATGGATGGCGAACAAAACCCCCTCAAAAACCATCGGGTTACCCATCGGTCTTGGTAAATGTAATAAGACCGATCTCAACCAGTGAGTTTCCCATCTTGAACTTTTGTTAAACAAATGGCCCCGGTAAACAAACAAACAGTGCCCATTGCCTTACTTGTCACGGCGCTTGTTTCTGAATAACTGCCAAACGCCGGCAAAAAAAAGGAAGAAATCGCGCTAAGCAAGTGCAAGTGTGTATATATATATATATATATTTCTATCCAAGGTAAAACCAATGCCATCTATTCCTAAACGACCCGATCAAAAGGACACACGGGCTTCGCCTGCGGAAACCCTCCGGGCCTTTGCCTTCACGGGCAGCCTCGATCCTTTGGAGCAAGCTACCGCCGTCCTGACACACGGCACGAGTGGGTTGGGTGTTGGTACGGTCCCTGGTGCGGTACCATTTTCAGGTTCCCTCAACAAGGAATGCGTCACTACAAGGGGGTCAATCATTTTTCCACCAAAGGTGGCAAAAAGAGCCCCCCTGTGGCGATGTAGTTCCCAGACCTCCCCTTCTGACCTTCTGGGAGGGTCGCTTGAAAGCCACGCCCCAAGCACAGGGCACCCTTCAATCAGATCAGCCCCAAGGCATTGTGTTTTTTTTTTACATGACATCACCAAGCATTTTCGACACCTTGTCACCTTTGACCGAGCAAACAGCTCGAAGCAAAAGGTTGAACAGATCTCCTGCAACATGTGTATGGGTTGAAACTTCCTCCGAAAAGTGTATGACGATTTGGATCATTCGCGCCAAACCGTCTTCCAAACTGTGATGACTGTTGGTGTTTGGTGGCAGGGTCCAATCTATGGGCAAATTGCCTGTTTTACTCGGGGCACTGGGGATGGTCGTTTGGGGATAAACCAAGCTCACCTGGGCTATAATTCCAGCGAACGCGCATGATCAATATTCCTTTCTTGGGGGTTCCGTATTCCATTTTTGTGAATTATGGTACTATGTTCAGACCATTGTCATGGACTGTTGAATGTCAACCATCACACCCCTATTGAGGCACTGGATGAAGGGATATTTGATGCCAGATCAGTTCCTCCTTGCAGGAATGCTTTAAGTGGCATCAGTTCTCGTTGCACAGCCACGGCAGGGCTGGGTAAAATTGGTTGAAACAAATAGACCTAGTACCATTTGACAGACGGGTGTATATGCATAAACAGGTTGAATCGTCCAACCCACATCGGTAAGGTCAAGCTAGGAAGCCCAGCGGATGCTGAAGGCAGTTGTAAGTGGTTAGCAGCCATGGCCATTCACCAAAACCTTCGTTCCGTTCGGGCCTCGGGTATGTGTTAAACTAGGTTTCCCAAGCGTTGGTGCAACTTGCTGGGATGTTAGGACTTTAACTTTTTGCCAACGAATGAGGTTTCCAGTCAACCACTAGAACTTAAACTGTTAGCAAGGGAGCAGAAAGCAACCAAGCAAATATGTGGGTTTCTCTTTGTGGTGTCCCTAGTCGCCCATTTTCTCAGACCCCCCCCTGCAGAGCCACCGTTGGTCAAAGCCGCAAACTAATCCCGGCGCTCCAGCACCGGCATCACCACATACCGCCTCAGCATGCGTTTGGCAGCTGAAGCGAGAAGCGTCTCCGGCGGGACACTTGTGGTCCGGATTGACATGGGTCTGCGATTGATTTTCAGGGTACCCGTTTTTTGGCTGGGCCAAAAATTCTTTCACATACCCATATGGCCAAAATCAGAAACATTCCCATCCCTTGCAGCCAATTATGTCCCCCACAGAGACGCGGCTCCAAGAACACAGCAGTCTACGATAACTTCTCCCGGCAAGAGGGCGGTTTCAGAAACCAAGCCAAAAGGAAAGCGCACATCCGTTTGTAAGGCTCTGCTGGAAACAATTCTGCTGGTTGAGGAGAACTGACAGCCTTACGAAATCAGCGGCTGTCAACATCCTCGTTCAAACAAAGCTAAACAACAAAGGGCTTGTGCGATGACACGCGTGCGGCGACACATGTAAGCCACTTTGGCGTCAAGCGTGCGATGCAAAATTACATGGCTCCCACCTTTGAAGCCATGTAGATAAGCACACGCAAAGCAAACTGGCGTCGCCTTCGTGGCAGATGCCGTGATCTAGGTCGGGGAAACCCCTACATGGAGGCAACATCATCTGGGACATCAAAATCACACACAAACTCACCTGTTGTGACTCTGTCACCCTGCGCCACATTTCGCCTACCATTAAAAACCAAAGGTTTGAGGAGACTCCAATGTGGGCATGCCCAACTCATGTCAAGCTTCAGGACATCGCCCATCCACTCGTGCAGGCGGCTTGTCAAGCCAAAACCCACAGCTACATGCTCGCCAGGAACTCAGTTGGTTCGGCTGGAGTCTGTTGCCCCTGCTGTCCCTTCTGAAAGACACGGTAAAAGCAACCCGGTTGGTGGCATCATTTCCGGCCCTCCAGTCCCAGCACCTTTGCAACGCATATGACACCTCCTTGCATGTTTTTGTTCCCTCCCAGCCCTCCGTGGCCCAGCGACGGCCAGAAAACGACCCTTGGGGTTGACCAGCGCGAAGCCCAAAAGGTAAAAGGGTGACTTTCCGGGTGCCGGACAACTTCTCTTTCTCGTTCTCCCAGGTATCTAGCGTGAAGACGACCGTGGGCCAGCCTGCAACTCCGGAAAACCCCATGATGTCTGCAACATCCTTTGCCAAAGCCGAGCAACGACCTTTGGTCCCAACAAACCTGCCGTTTCTCGAGGCAGCGTGTGGTCCCTGGAATCGAAGAAGTTTTACGGCCGGGTCGGAATTCAAGAAACCAGCGGGCTCAGGTTTGCCGAGAAAGGGGCATGGCGAAGGATGGTTCCCAACCAGAAGGAAAGGATGAGCGGGGCTGCCAGAAAATTCCCTGGGACTTTATATTTCTCACAATCCGGATCCCTGACAGAGCGGCTAGGTTCATGTTCCTGCTCCTTTTAGGTGTGTCGTGATTTGAGGCTACCCGCTTTTGGTTGGTGTTCATACGAAACACAAAGGAAACCAAACATGTTGGGAGATCTCCGATTTGAGACAAACCCATGTTAAAAACAAAGGCTTATAAAAGCAATCTTTGGAGAGTAGCTGGAGGGTGCGTTGAGCTTTCCAATCTCGTGTGCCAAACAAGGAGCACATAAAAGAAGGGGTTGTCACACAGTTTGCTTTCCCCCATGATCATAAGGTAATTGTACCGCATTACAAGAATGGTTCTCCCATGATATAATTTGGCTTCAAAGTAAAAACAGCAGTGATTTCCAGATGCGTGCTCTGTGCGCTCTGTTCCTACCACCTGCTTTCGGTGTGCGAATTTGGGCCCAAATCTGGGGTACAGAGAAACCGTCCAGTTTTTTTTTTCGGATTCTGCGTCTCATTTCCTGAGCCCTCGATGACAAAAATCCTTTTCGAGGTAGGGACAGGGCGGCGCGCGCAAAACTTCCCTGGGGCGGCGGCTCAGCTCCCGGAGAAGCCTCGGCGGGCAAAAAATGATTCGATGATGTCATCCCTGGGTTGGGACACACATGGGGGGTTGATCGATATTCCCTTCCGTCCCCAGTCTTAACCAAGGGCATTACTCCCAGTTCGTGGGACATATCAGCTTTTTAATGGTGGTCCTCAAAGGTCATCGCAAGTAAAGGACCTTTTGATCAACCCCCATATGGCATCGCATTCAGCAAATGAAGCTCTCCTGAGATATGATCATGCTGTAATTTGGTTGAGCTTTCACTATCTGATCCCATTCCAACTATGGCTCTCTTGCACTGTGAATGCCGTTGGCTTACCGTTCATTCGGACCAGTGGTTTGCCCGGGGTATCTGTTGAAGCCCTGACCCAAACATCCACGACCAGTTGACCAATAGTGTTTGAAGGTACCCTTTTGGGGTTGCTTTAAACGGAAGCCAAAAGGAGTTCATCCTTTTTAGAGGTTGCCCTAAATCCAACTCACTTGCGAGACACAGACCCAGTTTGGCCTTTCTCCCGGAGATTTCTCCCCAATGGCAAGCTTTGAGGGGGACCTCTCTGGACATGGATGGACCTTCATGACCGCTTTGACATGCTTTGACTTTATGAGCTATGACGTCGCAACCGCCAAATGACCGAGTTGCAATCGGCACCGGTAGAACCATTGGAAGGCTTGAGGGACCCAAATGGATGCAACACATCGGTTTTGTGTGTTCCCAACATCAATAAATTCAAAGCCTGCTGTCAAGTAGAGGGGCGATCTGCAAGAACATGCAAGAACAACAAAACATGTGCCACACGCGGGGCTGGTTTTATGATATCCATTCTAACACCAAGTGCGCTTGACATCAAACCATCGACTTTTGGTCCTAAGCTGAATTTGAGATTTACATTTAAACCCGTACAGCCCGTGAAGCCAGGTAGGAACCGAGCCACCAAATGTGGGGTACACAGAAATTATCGGTTCTGTGACTCTGTCTCATATCTCTTCTACCCTACAATATCATCATCGGGTCTGCTGTTTGGAGTTGGTATCCCGCTTTGGTTGCTTTAAAGAAGCACCAACTGCGAACACCCACTCATTTCGGAGGGTGTCCCACCTCAAAGAGACACACCCAATTGGATGTGGGGCCCACAAAATGGATCCATGTGTCTGCTGGCTTCCCTTCAAAAACCGCAAGCCAAGGGGTACCTCGCAAAAGACGAGCCGCCCACTGAGGTTTTGGGGGGCCGCTCGAGCGCTCCGAGCCGCGCCTCAGCTCCCGATCGATCCCCTCCGTGGCAAACTTCCGCAGGCGCCGCCTCGTTTTGCGCGCGAGGTCGGCTGGGGCGGGGTGTCCGGTGAAAAGACATGCTGCAAAAAACGTACTGCTACCTAGAGTCCCCATGACCCCCTAGAAAAATGGGTCATGACCCCTTAATTTTGGGCAATGACACCTTTTTTCAAGGGTCATGGAGAGTCTAGGTACGGTAAATGGGTGATAACCATGGTTGCGAAACAACTTACTAAGCACCCTCCGTTTCGCGGTCTTGAGCTAGCTTAGCTCCTATTTGCCTTAAAGGGGATGCCAAAGGTTTGCCAAAGGTGCAGTGACCCCGCAAGTTTCAAGAAATTGCAACAGCAGGTGCTGGCGGTAGACGATTTGTCCAACTAAAAGGCATCCTAAGTGTGTTGTGATTAGCTCCCACACTTTTTTCAGAGGCGGAATCCTGCGCCCGCAAATGATGGGTGTCCCAAAAGCAGCTACACTCAAATGTATGAATCATGCGCTGCAAAGCTTGGACCTGCCACACCAGGCCCATAGGTTTCTTTTCAGGGATACGTTGGGGCGTGTCATTTTTGAGGGGACCCCTTTTTTGCGGCGTTAAAGAGAAACCAAAAGGAAACCCACCATTTTGGGGGGGTCCCCAAAAAGACACACCCCTTAGAAGAAGCAACAATTCTGGTCACTCCGGTGCCATCGAGAATGGAGTCCCTTTAAGCCTCAGTTGGGGCCCCGACATATTGATCTCCTTCAGAGCGAGCGTCTCGTTGTCCCTCAACCGCTTCGCCTGTCCAAAGTAAAGATGGCGATCAGAACTAAAGACGACTCCTCACCCTCCGAAGCGTAGCAGGCATAGCACAATCCCCCCCCCCGCGATGCTGTTTACATGGGCTGTTCAGTAACCTCGTTCGGGTGCTGCGGACGCTTCGACGAGGGCATCACGTCATGGTGCTGGCGGGTGCCGAGTCTCGAGTCTGGCACCCCATCCCAGGAATCGGGTGCCCTTTATACCATGCTTTGATAAACAGATTAGTGGAAGACAATGCTCTGGGAAAGGAAGCCTGTGCGCTTACCTTTTGACAGGCCGCCTGCTCATAAATCCTCCCGGTCCTGTTAGGCCTCACGTTGGCCCCAACCGTATTATGATGTTATTCGATCCCGAAGCGATAATTCCAGGTCTCCGTCACGGGCCCCGCTCCGGTGGCGTCTGCAAGACGAGTTGAGCACATCCGCACTCCACTACGGACCAAAGCCGAATCGCTGAAGACAGCCTTATGGCACCTGAGCCATACGTGTGGTCTTCCATCAACGTCGTTTCTGCTTGTTCTTCCGGGGCTGAAGCACCCAAGGGAGCCGGCTTGCATCCGGTTCCTCGCTATAAGAAAACCCACAAACACCAGATACAACTTGCTTGCAAAAGTGGCAAAGCAAATCGGCTGGTATCTGTGGGCTGGGCTTGCCCTTTGACAAAAGCGTCTTCGAGGCGTACACAGTGGTGCTAGGAAAGAAACCACAACGGCAAGGACATGGAACAACTAGCCACGATCTTCGCCGGAAAACAAACACATTTGGAGGCTGAAACATTTGATCTTCCAGCTTTACTACAGTATCATTCCGAAACATGAATTTAGGGATCTTGAATCTTTAAGCAAAGAACCTGTATCATGGTGAGTTTGCTATACCCCCATGTGAGCTCGCTGTAAACTTGGCGGATTTGATGCGGATGCACAAAATACTGTACTCGGCGCTTTCAAACATCAGAGGCCTCCGCAAGGTTGAAAAGCGTAAACACGCGTGAAAGCCCGAGGATTGCATGGCATTCTTCCCGGCCTTGTGGACACACGCGGTCGCACCTCTGCCAAGAATATCCTTCGCGGTGCAAAAAAAGTGGGCATCGCTTGTGCGACCAGGCTCTTGAATCATTTTTTGGGAACTAGTACGACCATGACCCGGAAAAGATCAACAAGATAATCCTCTTATAAATGCGTTTGGGTGTTTTCTTTGTGATTGGCGTATTCGCGCGTGAAATATTGGGCCTAATGAAGAAGCTCAAAGGGCAGTTCATGGGTCATGGGCGGATGCGGGGCCGGGGGCGGATGCAAACTTGGCCAGATGGATCCGAGGTTCTAAGTGCAAACACTGGTTGCCAGACACGGGAAAGGACAGGAACCCCAAGAGCAAAACAGGCAAATGGGCGAGCTCCGAGTCTGATGCACGTAATGAAATCCCGTCTCCAGCAGCAGGTACTCTTCGAGTCGCCGCTCTTGCGCTTGTGATATCACCTGAGCGCCAGTCGGTTTGTCAGTCAAATCCACAAAGGGGAAGCCGCCAGCCACGTGCTCATTCTCAGATATGGGTGTGTCGCATTCTTGAGGGTATCCTCTTTAGGGTTGGAAATCAAAGGGCAACCAGCCATTGTGGGGGTTGCCGGTATGGCCCAACACCAAGCCAAAAGACAAGTCGACTTGCCCTGGGCAGCAGAGCTGCTGCCACACCTTTGCATCGAAAACGATCTGCGGTTCATGCTTCGCTTATGCCTGACCAGCTGTTCCCAAAGAGGATCAGCAAAAGTGAGCTCGAGGATCAGCTAATATTGAATGGAGCAAGACAAGCGCGGCCTCTACTCGGACATTGTGAACTCACATTCGCTCAAGAGGTGGTCAAATGGGCACGCAAAACCAGCCCACACTGCTTCATATTACGCACAGGCTTTGAAATGCTACCTTCAACTGTAGAAAACATGCGCTGATTTTAGGGGGTCGCTGACAAATCCTAATGTTGTGCAACCAAATGCAACCAAGGCAGGCACCCATAATGCATTGGCCCAAGTTCTCGGCTGCTGGATTGACAATGACGAGGCCATGATGCGGTGTTCCCATGGGTTATGGCCACCGCTCTTTCAACGTGCTTCGCTTTGATCAGCCGAGAGCAACTCCTCCGTGTTTCAACATAATTCTTACTTAGCTTGCTTTTTAAGGAAGCGGCCAGCAGTCAAAATCAACACCTCGCAGTATAGCGGTCTATCCAAAACACGACGTAAAGGACTATCCCGCACTAGCCTTCATCTACCCGGCCTTCATTATGAAGGCTCACTGGTTGAGACGCCTTGCGCCGAATCCCCCCAGCTACGCCAAGTTCTCAGCCCGTGGCTGTGGACAAGCTGTCCAGTGACAGCGGGTGGATCAAATAATCGCAGATGCCTCGCGAAGTTGGACGAGTCCAACCAGTTGGACGAGTCCGATGAACGGAAGCCATGAAGCCGTGAAGCCGTTCAGTTCGGGGTCTCTGGAAAGCCGCACGCGCGGCTTAAGTTGGGAACTTATTCTGAAATGGGATCGCTCCGGCCACCTTCTGAAGCTCTTGTCGCCCTTGTAAAGAAAAGTCTAGCAGAATTAGAACTTTAAGAGAGACCCCAAAAGTGAACAAGCGTCGTGGTTGTAGCCTTCTTTTGTAAGAAATCAGCCTGCCGCCACAGAAAGGAACACTTCTTGGAAAGCTGGGGCAAAACAACACATCAGCCTGCCTGGTGATAAACCATGACAATCATGTCTTTTCTCAACTGGCAACCAATGATCCCGGGACGCTCAAGACGTCCATTTCTGTCGACAAAGTGTATGGACCTGGTTTGGTGAGCTTGAGCTGCTTTTTTGTTTTTTCTCCCAGTGGTTTATGCCTTTGTTGCCTCCTTGATGCCGTGGCAAAAAAGTGGGGGGGGGGGGGCATATGTATATAGATATACACACATAGAAACATACTTCTGTTGTGTAAGCAATGATATCAACATCTGCCATCTGACAGAGTGTGCATGCATCTCATCATATTGGGATAACTCTGTTTTATTCTGTTGTTGTTTCTTTGTGTTTCCTTTTTTATGGGATTCAAGATTCAAGAATCCCAGAAAAATATCAGATTCTCGAATCTTGAATCTTGAGCCCCAGAATAGAAAAACTAAATCTAGGGTTGTCCCAATATTCTAGGTTTTCAATAAATGCTTCTGCAACCAAGTATGCGCACCCATCTGCAGTCATTTACTCCAAGCTCCCGCAATGGCTGGGTTCAACGTGAGAAGACAAGATTTTCGGAAAAGCACAGAATACTTTTATCTTGAATCTTCAATCCAGTGGTAGAATACTTTCGAGGTTTTAGACGAACTTGACAGTTGTTATTGTTTGGGCCAGGATTGATGATTTTCAGGAAAGTGTGTGAATCCTCAATCCAGTGCTAAACTACTTTCAAGTGCTAGAAGAACTTGAACGTTCTTCGGCTTTGGCCAGGATTGACGATTCTCAGAAAAGTTTTCTCTGTAGTCTTCAATCTTGAATCTTCAAGTGCTTAGCGATCCAGTGGAAACCCTTTGAATTTCTTAGACAAACTTGCAGTGCTTTTGGTGAGTGTTTTGCTTCATGTAAGCTATGCTCATGTTGAACCTTTCCAGGAGGTCAAGCTAGGTGTAATGCTGAAAGCACTGTATTTTACACCATTCTATGGAGAGGCGCAGGATCAAGAGGGGTACTATATGTTAGTCTGTATGTGTATATATATATATACACACCGTCAAACCCTGTACTACCTGTCCACCACTGTTCATCTATTACCTCCGCTTGATAATGAATTCTGAGTTCCTGTCCAAGTAAGACTATAAATACAACTGATTTAGCTAGAATCCCTTTTCGAGATATCTTTAGAATTTGAACCTCTAATCCCTTGAAAATTCCATTTTGGAACGCTGTCTAACAAGTTTAATTTCGGACCTTTCTTATGCTACAGAATGGCCACAATGTAAATAACACACATCATTTTTTGACTTCTCTTGAAGAAGTCGCTTACATGAATATTTAATATGAGCTATATTTGATAATTAGTTCCCATTTCATTGCTATGAAAAGGTAATACCTAGCCAAGTAGCTTGCTCTGCCAGCAAGCCAGCAAACCAGCAGGCTAGCTGACTAGCTAGCAAGGAATCTAAGTAGCTAGCTATCTATGTAGCTATTTCGATAGCAAAGCCGTTAAATAATTATATGACTTATCACCCGGCCAGATACCAGGCAAATAAGTAGCCAGCTAGGCAGCTAACTAGCTACCAATCTTGCCACCAACAGGCTTACTCCATGGCTAACTTATTACTTCACTGACTGGCTAGCAATCTCGCATGACCTGGACAGCAACTCACAAACTGCTTCGGGCTAACTTAGCGACTGAGCCAACACCCTACAAGCTAGAAAGTTGCGTTGTACCTTACTCTTGCCCAAAAGTGGGAGAACACGTTGGTGTTTGGAACATGGGTCAGTCCCATAAGTACTTTATCACGTAGGGGATTCGAGGTTGGTACAGCATTTGGCAATTCTAGCCTCCAATATTTTGTCATCCAAGTCACCCCCCAAGTGGGCTCAAGGGAAACAACCCCAGAAATTGACAACCCCCAGAAGCAGAATCACCATCACCAGAACCTGTTGCTTCCCTGGGCTGTTCCCAGATCAGCTATTTTGTTTTGACCTTCAGTGGTTTAATAGAAACTACGACCTTTCACCAACTAAAAACAAAATAAACACCTATTTGTTGCTAACTTTCAGTGGATTAATAGAAACTACCATCTTTCCTCAACCAAAAATCAAGGCGACCCCAAGTTTCACCTACCACCTTCCACCTAAGCCGCTGGCTTGTTGCATCATTTTTTCTATGCCGCAGCACGTCCCGCGAGGATTTGTTCTCTCCCGCGACGACGGCTTCTCTCCTCGGGCGCGCAGCTTCTCGCGCATCTCCGCCTCCCCGGAGGCCAGCAGCTGCCGGCCTTGCCGGGCCAGGGGCGAGCGCGCGCGGGGATTTTGCACGACTCTCAACAAAAACTGGAGGTGTGTTTGTTCATTTTTTTCTCCGGATTTACGTTCGATTTCCATGATGTTCTAGGGGTATCTTCCAACCAGCCTGAAGAAAGAACCTGCATTTTTATGGGTATTTTACAGACCCATCATACCACTGGAAGGGAAGCTGCTTCTCTAGGGGTACCTTCCATTTCCATTCTTTGCAGGGATCCGAATCTTTCCAGAAAACCATCCGAACCCCAGGGGAAACAGCGATCGGTTTTTGAAAAGAACGATGGTTGAAAAGAATGGGGAATGAACTAATGAACCCCTAGAGTTTTGCGAGTCAGAGCCTCTTTCCTCACTTCTCAAGTGGACCCCTGTCAGGTTCCATGTTAATTGGTGGGAGGGTAACGACCTAAAGAAAAGGGAGGGTAACCTAAAGTTGTCCTCTCCTCCTTTCTCAAGTTGTCCTTTCCTCCTTTCTCAAGTTGTTAATTGATAGGATGGTAACCTAAAGAAAAGACGACAAAGTTCCCTGAAACCAAACATCCAACCGCGCACTTCCTGGGTGGCCTGGCCAAAACCAGTTCAAACTTTTTTATTTACAACTAGTCTCCCCAAGAAGTTTGAAGTTCAGGAACTCGGGAAGTAAGTTTCTGGGCTGTCCGTTAGCAGATCTGCTAAACAGTTCAACGGCTTAGTGGGTGAAATTTGGAAACCCCACCACAAAAACCCAAAACAAAGCAAACAAAACTAAAACCGAAGGGGATGGCTGGAAACCACCAAGTTTCGGGCGTTGGTTTAAAAGGAGACCAAGGGGAAAGTAATCACCTGTTTTTTTTGGGGGGGTCCCTAAAATAGGACACTCGCGGGTGGAGATCTGGAAGCAATCCTTGGATCTAAGGAAGTAGCATTGGCAAAAGAATTGGCAACTGCCGTAAATTGCAAGCTGAACTACTGTTTGGAGGAAGGAGCGGGCTTCTTTTTCATCACAGAGAGAGAGAGAGAGAGGTGGGGGGAGAGTTGATTGAGCGGAATCACTCTATTTCGACATTGAAATCGTCCAAACTGTGTGGACCACGGGTTGGTTTTGCACACTGAAAAACAAACACAATCAGCCGCCGGTTCATGGGAAACAAAAGGGTTGTCTGGGTGCTTGTTCTGTCTCGGGAAGACGAACATGCTTTCGCATCCGCTTTCGCCATCCTTACAGAAGTTTGGCCTTGTTGAAGATTTAGCACACAATTAAAGCCATCGCGATTGAGCATGTTCTTCCGTATGCTTCAGTCCCCTGAAAAAGCATATGTGTAGGCATTCCAGCTCAGCAGCGGAAACAAGAGTGTGAAGCTCATGGAGGTGCTAAAACATGATTTTGGCTGCCGAGGTCAGCTGGCACTGGGCGCTGCGCCGACGTCTTCGAAGTCCCCTGCCTACGAGAGGGTGAGGAAAGCTGTGACTCAGAGTTGTGTCAAAAGAAACCCCAAGAAAACAAACATGAGGGAGAATTCAGGCTAAAGGCAACCAAAAGTGTGCCGAAACTTTGCTCCTCCCAAACCTTGTCGACCTTGAAGGGTGGTGGGGGGGGAGAGGAGATTTACTAATCAGGGGAAACTATTACCTGAGCAACTGACGATACCTGCAGAAACCGATAAGGGGGCCAGGACAAACAAATATTTGCCCAAGAGAAAATTGGGTTGTAAAGCCGGTTTGTTGTGATGTTGGGTTTTCCCCTTTGTCCGCCCGAAACTAACCATACACGTCCAGGAATTTTGTCAATTGCTAATAGGTTTTCTGGTCCAGAGCAAACACCGGGGGAAAGCAAAGGAATTGTGATGCATTCCTTCACTGAGGGTTGATCAAATATGGAAAACCAAGTGCCATTTTCGGCAAGGGACAACTGACGTATTTGTGATTTGACTGTCGTGCACTGTTGCGAACCCGTTTCAGCTGCCATCTTGGCACACCACGCAATTGCGGATGCAAGAGGGCAACGCTTCAACCAAATGCATCTGCAGTTGTGAGTAACGGCAGCTGGTGCGGCATGCATGAATCTTAAGCTTGGATTCACAAGAATAATACATGGGTCTTGAGGCTGCAAATACCTCTTTTGAACTGTTGACGTCTCATCAAACTATCAACTTTTAGCAACACAAAATCAACACAACATTGCGTGCCATGAAAGAATACCCATTCTGCTGAACCGATGCGGGACTGACTCTCTCCCTGCTAGTTTTGCCCGATCACATGCCCTTTCATGACTGGGCGAAGTGTCCAATTAGCCAACGCAGCCCCATTCAGCAGGGTGCTTCACCTGCCGAAGGAGTTAAGTTGAACTTGTTAGACCAAGCGCACAGCTTGTTTTGCCGAGCTTGGCACTCTGACGTTTGCCGTGTTGGTTCTACGGCGCTGACAGCGCCTAACCGGGTCGTGTTGCTTGGCATATCTTGACACCTTCCCAATTTTAGATGTTTATTGATCAAACATCTCCAGAAAATATCTGAACAAAAAGGGCCACTCAGGGTATGCAACGCCTGGCTGTCGACCAAAAACGGGAAAAGGCAAAAGACCATCCCCGGTTCAAACAACTACCAGTATGGTTCAGTACCTGCCAGGAGGTATTAGAGTGATCACATACAAAGAAAACGCAAGTGGGGTCCCAAATCAAACTCCTCCCAAGAACACAGGAGGGGCAACAAATACCCGCGCGCTAACATGGAACTTAGCTGGACAGCATGTTCGCCTCAGACTAACCTCGGTTGCTTTCTGCTCCCCTGCTAAAAGCTTAACTAACTTTTAGTGGTTTAATGGAAAACCCATTAGTTGGCAAAAAAAAGAAGTCCTAACATTCAAGTAAAATACACCAAAGCAACCATCTGGTGCGTTCCGGGTACCCAAAGCCTCGGTGATCAACACGACGTAGACGCCCTGCTGCTGCCACTCCGAAGGTAGCCCTGCCGCGCAATTTGTCGGATGCCAAAGCGAAGGAAGGAATCCGGGACTCTGAGCCTCTGACGCGCTCGCGACCTTTCGGGAGTCTTTCTGGGTGGCCAATAATTAAACAAAAGCACAGCGACAACTTAGAATTGGAATGGGTTTTTGCTTGAGGGT